GACAGAGAGACACAGTGAGAGAGGGAACACAAGCAGGGGGAGTGGGAGAGGGAGAAGCAGGCCCTCCGTGGAGCAGGGAGCCTGACACGGGGCTCGATCCCAGGACTCTGGGATCATGACCTGAGCTGAAGGCAGACACTTAACGACCGAATACACCCAGGCACCCCAGGGTTCACCCACGTATTATCTGGCAGAATTTCCTTCTTCTTTTGAGATCCTTAAAAAAAAAAAAAAAAAAAGGTTTCTAGTTCTTGGAAAACTCAATCTTTTAAAAAATTTCTTTAACCATGTTAACCATAACTTTTAAAAAGTACATATTTGGTCATTCATTATTTGTATCGCCTGTGGACTTACTTTTCTTATTTGGTGTTTCTTTGCCTTGCCTCATCACATGGCTTGTTACTTTTGATTGAGTATTGGACATTGAAAATTGTGTTAGAAAATTACAGAAATTGTTAGATGTTTAAGATGATGTCATATTCTTCCAGAGAGGATTTGTGTTTGCAAACCCAGATATCTAATCGGTAATTGGTGTATTCAAAGCTGAACATCAGTCCCTCAAAGGCCTATCCCTTCCAGATAATACCTTATTTGTATTGTAGGGTCCAATAAAAAGCTAAGGGGCTATCAGGATCTTCAATCCTTGGCAGGTCCTGAACCCTAATTTTGTCCTGCTAACCATGTGAATTTGTTGACATCCTGGCTCAGCTTCTCAGCCTCTCACTTGTCACTGCTGGAGTTGGCAGATATCCTTAGGAGAAAAGCAGCCCCAACTGCCTGGTTTAACCCTCTGGCACCTAATTTAACCTAATTTTTCTTTACCTTTTTAGTGCTTTGATGTCCTGAGACATATGTTTGCATATTTTTTCCACTTCTTTTAGTTGTTCTATGTGGGAGGGTTGATCTGATTCCTTTGTCATTGCAAGAGTGGAAGATAAGACTAGTGTGCTTTACTTTTTTACTCAATGTCCAAAATATGCTATACTCTGCATAAAGTAACACATCTTTATATCTAAACATGCGATTCTGATTTTGAATAAAAGAAGATTGTGTTCACGTAGAGGACCCTGTGAACAAATTAATGAATTTTGGGAGGCTTCACATTTTGTTCCCATGGGAAACTCTTTACTTAACTAAATGCCTCTGCCATGCTTAGAACACTTGGTAAATACATGCATTTTATTTGTACAGATATTTCTGCATTATTTCTGTTCTACTTGTAGTTCAAGGCTTGACACAGATGCCATTTCTACCATGAAACCTTTTTTTGATATCTCAAAGCAAAATAGTTGCTTCCTCTTTAGGACTTTCATATTAATTTGTACAGCTGTAAAACTACACTGTAACAGTCTTTTATTTTCACTGTACAATTTACGCTCTTAGGAAGAAGAAACAGTCTCACCAAAATATATACACTCCAAAACATCTAACATAATATTTTGCATATAATGGGAACTTAATATATATTTGCTAAATGGGGCGCCTGGCTGGCTCAGTCAGTAGGGCTTGTGACTCTTGATCTCAGGGTCATGAGTTCAAGCCCCATGTTGGGTATGGAGCCTACTTAAAAAAAAAATGTGTATATATATATATATATACACACATACACACACACACTAAATAAACAGAGGGATGAATGAATTAATAAGGATGTTGGAGTGCAGTGAAGGGAACATTGACTGGAATCAGAAGAGCTAGATTCTGTGCCATCTCTGCCTTGGGTAAGTGTTTTAATGTTTTCTCAGTATCTTTACTTGTATAGAATGAATGCTTACCTCAGGGAGTTTTGAGGCTTAAAAACATAATTTATCTTCATGTGCATTGCAAAACAATATACAAATATAAAGTGGCCATTTATAGTTTTAAAACATGTGAGAAGGGAAAACATATGCCTATAAAGGCATAAAATGTCTTCAGAAGATGATACAAGAAATTCAAGGCCAGGGAGCAGGGGGTTGGGTAGACAGGATAGGAATTTGACTTTTAACACTATACCCATTTGAATTTTGAATCATATGGATATTTTAACTACTAGAAATAAAATAAATAGAATTTAAGAAAAATATAATGTACTATTGCTCTGTTTTGTATCAGAGTAGTTGGCTCAGCAAAAACACTGCTTGCGCTGACTGCAGTGATTGAGAGTCTTATCTGAACAATTAGTTTTATAGATGGAAGTTTAAATAATCTGTGAATTAGTTACTTTGATTTATTTATTTATTAGAGAGTTCTTACTCTTAATATGTGTACTGTAGCTCAGAGCTTGGAGCATATACTGATTATTTCTTACATTCATGATGTAGTTTAGGTTTGTTAGATTACTGTGTAACTAGATTTGGAAGGGTCAAAAAGCTAGAGATTTCTGGCATGTAAACTTCCTTGTCACTTAATATAACTTAGAAAGGTTTCCTGAATACCCTGTTACCAATAGAGAGATCTCTTTGGGGACATTCAACAGAGAAGGGCAGGTACTCATGTGTTCTTGGTTAGGAATCCTGCCCTCCTGGGCTGGGCTTGCAGCATTGATGGGGATGCATGTGACTTACTGAGAGAGGACTGGGCCCTCAAGCACCTCAGTCAACCATCCAGTCTGGTGATAAACGTAGTAACACATGAGCCAGACAGATTGCCTTTACCTACAGAATGTCCACAGAAGTTATCTGAGTCCACTTTTTAGTCATTTACAGTATTTCCTAATATCCAGAAACCTTCTAGCCTTTGGTTTTGTCTGTGTTCTGGCCATTTCCAATTTCATGAGATGACCAATGAAGACAGACTGGGATCTGAAATCCAACCTAAGAAAGTATTGCTCCTTTTAAATAGTTCTTGTTGAACTTCAATGGAGGAGGGACTGAAACTCGTGCCTAGTTTTTGTGTGTGTTTTTTTTTTTTCCTTTTAAAGATTTTATTTATTTATTTGACAGAGAGACACACCGAGAGAAGGAACACAAGCAGGGGGAGTGGGAGAGGGAGAAGCAGGCTTCCTGCTGAGCAGGGAGCCCGAAGTGGGACTGGATCCCAGGACCCTGGGACCATGACCCAAGACGAAGGCAGACGCTTAATGGCCTGAGCCACTCAGGCACCTCACTAGTGCCTAGTTTGAGGATGGAGGTTGGCTCTGGAGCTCATTCATCTATGTCTTTCCCAGCATTGGCAGGAATTAAGGAAAAAAAAAATTCACTTGACTTTGTCTCCAGCTATTGTAAAATGATTTCTGACATTTTTTAAAGTTCTTTTATTCTCCTTTTCAAACTCTGCAGCTTCACTGAATTTAATTTATGCTGTTTTAAACTAAATAAACTGACTTTGGGAGGAATATTTTCTATTTACCATTTGTTTGGATATCCCAGTTTCTTAATCACATCTCTCAAAAGACTCAGTTTTTTTGTCTTAACCTTTCAAAATCTGTTATATTTCCCTTGAGAGGTAAATGGGATATTGGCCCAGAGCCCTGCTATTTCCAAATTTGAACATCAAAAATAAGTCATGTCAGGCATTATATTAACAAAAGATTCACAGTCTCCACTAAGCTGCAAGTAATAAGAACTTGTTATTTAGTTTCAGCTTGATTAAAAAACTGAGCAAGCCATTTTACATTCATAACTTTTGGTTCTGTTGCTCAATGTGAAATATAATATGGACCAATTTTCTAGGTGTTTCAGTTACATATTGCTTATAATTTGGGGTGGTTTGTTACACAGCAATAGGTAACTAAAACAACAGGCAGTAACAACTATTCATTTTCTCATGATTCTGTGTTTGGGGTAGGGCTCAGTGGGGATGGCTTGTCTTTGTTCATATGGTGTTGGTTGGGGTGGTTCAGTTAAAGATGGAACATTTACAAGCTTCACTTGCAAGTCTGGTGCCTCACCTGGCAGTGCTGGATCAGCTGGAGACTGGCTGGGCTTCTGTCTTTTTCTTCAAAATCTCTAATTACTCAGGGCTTCTCTCTATATACATGGTGTCTATATATCTACTTATTGGTCTATCAATCTATCATCTGTCTATCTATCTACTCAGCTACCCATTCTTCCATGCACCCACCTATCCATCCAAATGGCTCTCTAACATGGTGGTTGAGCTTTTTTATATGGCTGCTACCTTCCAAGAGAGTAAAAACAGGAACTACCATGTTTTTTAAGGCCTAGGCCTTGAACTGTCAAAGAGTCACTTCTGCCATATAATTTTTAACAAAACAAGTCACAAGGACAGTCCCGATTCAAAGAGAAGAGAAATAGACTCCATCTCTCCAGGATGGAGTGGCCTGGGTATCCAGAGACAAGAGGAAGTTGGCCATCTTTAGAAACAATTTACCATATCAAGACAGCAACACGGTCCACTAAAATATCTTGATGAGTTCTTTTATTTTCATTTATGCATGTATATATGTATGCATATATGTATGTCTGTATTTTTAGAGAGAGAGAGAGCATGTGATTAGGGGTGGAGGGGCAGAGGGAGAGGGAGAGAGAGAATCCCAAGCAGGCTCCATGCCCAGCACAGAGCCCAATGTGGGGCTTGATCTCACGACCCTGAGATCATGACCTGAGCTGAAATGAATAGTTGGACACTTAACTGAGCCACCCAGACACCTCTGAGTTTTCAAAAAGGAATTAGCACATTCCCTAAAATATGTCCTTTTATGACTCTGATTATTATCAATGTGCACAAAAGGTTTTTTATACTTTTTACATTACAGATTAAATGTTTAAGTTTGCTTTTCTTATACATTTTTTGTAATAATTATCCATACTTTCATGAACATACACACACACACACACACACACAGAGAAAATGGTTTCTACAATAAGACAGATCTAGGTTTTAATTCCAGGTTTTATCACACATTACCTGTATGGCCTTGGGCAAGCTATTAAAACCATGACTCTCAGTTTCCTAATCTGCAAACTGGATCAACAGAAATATCTATCAATAGCATAGTTCTGGGTATTTCAAGTTCATTTATAAAAGAATGTTTATTTTCACTCTTATTTTTCAAGGCTCCCTATAGCTTGAACAACCAGGTGAATGGTGGTGCCATTTACTGAGGTGGGAAAGACTGAGGTAAGAACTTGTTTTGGGATAAGTAATTTTGTGAGTAAGAAATGATCCCAGAGGCTATTAAGATGATATATGAACATATACTCAATGGTGCATATATATTCATATACACACGCATATATTTAAGTGTATGCAACTACATGGCAAGACATGCAGACCCAGGGAGGGAGGGAGAGAGAAAGAGATGGGGGGGGGCAGAATAATTTTGTAAAAAATTATCCCAACTGATGATGGATGACTAAGGACTATTCATTACTCTTTGCCCTCAAAGACAGAGATTTTACCTTATTTATCTTTCTAGTCCCCATAACACACACCACTCTCACCTCCATGTGATAGAATATTCATACACTTTTTTACTAAATGGTGTTAGCATATTCCGTGTAGAGTGAGCTTGAGAAATAATCTGGAGACAATTTTTAGAGCTCCTCAGTATTCCACAGATTCAGTTATACCCAGGTCAACTCATGCCTTGCATTTGCCGAATGTTTTCAATACCTTTCTTTGCTTTTTCAGTATTGTAATAGAACAGGGAAGAACTTAAAATGTGAGTATGTTCTTTGTCTCTAAGGCTGATAACTGATAGAATTTGAACAAACAGATATGTTTTGTTACTTATTAACATTTAATACTAATAACATGTATAATTTATAAAACATTTTCATAGTCATTACAGATTTGATAAAGATAAACTCTTGAGGTATCATCGTTATGCCCAAATGACAGAGGGGGAGACATGCTCAGAGAACGTAAGCACACAGGTGGCGTGCAGCAGAGCTAAGATTCATGCACATGTCTTCCACCTCTGGAATCTATACAATAATAAAAGGATTGATAGAAGCAGCAGCTCTGGGGATGTATATGAATTGAAGTTATTCCTGATTCCTATTACCAGGACTAATTTGAAATAACTCCACATATTTCAAAATTTCTAATTAAAAAATTTTGGTAATGTCCTTTTAAAATGCGCCATCTGTGATTCTCCAGCAACTTGTCATGGTGGATCTGTGGTTTATTTTCAATATGTAAGTTATTAATTCATAATCAAAGTGAACTACAATGCTAGTCAAAGAAACTCATCAACAGGTAAATCTTCCATTAAAGAAAGGATTTTTAAAAGTGTTCTTTTGGCTAGTTCATTATAAGATTTTTTAAATTAAAATTATTCCCATTATAGCAAGCTGATCCTTATTATATCAGGTTGAGAAATTATTTTGACTAGCATATTGTCTTTAGTCATAAACTCATGTCATTAGGCATACAGAAAATCACATTAAAGAGACCTTCTTCCCCTTCAGGGATTGACACACATGATATAAAACTAGAATACAGTGATTGGATCTAATTTTCTTCCATTGTTATTTAAAAATATAACCTAGGGCGCCTGGGTGGCTCAGTCCGTTAAGTGACTGACTCTTGACTTTGGCTCAGGTCATGATCTCAGGTTGTGAGATCAAAGCACCCCAACCCCAGCGAGAAGTCTGCTTGAGATTCTTTGCTGCTCCCTCTCCCTCTGCTCCTCCCTCCGCATGTGCATGCACTTTCTCCCTCTCTCAAAAAAAAAAAAAAAAAATATATATATATATATATATATATAACATATAAACACCTGGCTTCTAGCCAACAAGAACTAACCTGAGACATCATTATGGGATGTTATTAACATTAAGCAAATGAAGATTCAATCCTGATTCTCAGAATGTGTTTTCACAAAGCAAGGAATTATATTTGATGTGAAAGTACCATGCTGTATTTTTCCAACTGAACAGAAATATGCCCTGCATTTTAGATAACAAAAAATAACCCCACAGACTGTCACTCAAATTAAGAATGTATACATCATTTGTCATTACAAAGAAGCGTTCAAAATAATTTCTCATTCTCACTGTTACTTCTTTTGACCTACAGGTTATTTAAAATACATGAATTTTTTTCTAGTTACCTTTTATTTTTTACTACTAGCTTAATTTTTTTTTGGTCAAATATGTAGTCTGTGATTTCAACAATTTGACATTTGTTTGAGGATTGATTTTGAGGCTCTATTATTAATAAAATTGTAGAAATAGTATAACTTTTTCATGAAATAAACAATTATCATTGTGAAGAACCCTCTTTATCTCCTTTCTTTTTTCTGGCCCACCTTCTTCTCCTTTCACAGACTACACATTCATTGCTTACGACCAAGCAAAAGAAGGTGCCTCTTTACTTACAAAAAAATTAATACAATTACTCTGAAAGAAAATGTAATGGTTAACAAGAACCAAGTCAATCTCATGAAAAGATCCAGCTATATCTCAAGTGAGTCTACATGATGGGTACATTCATATGGTAGGAACTTGTGGATAGGACTGGTTTACCATGACAACACAGCTCCTTCTTTGTGGTCAATGATGTGTCTGCTAACCACATAGTATCTTCATTTACCAAGATGGCAGGAAAAACCACTTTGTGTGATCTGTTAATTTGGTTTTGGTTTTGACATCCCACAGCAGGTTCAGTGTTATACTGGACTTCATTCTTGGCGAATGGATTCTTCCTTGGCACCAAAATGCAGTGACATGAAATTGTGTTTTCAATACCAGTTAATGGACTATTACCCTAGATGCTGTTATTGATGATCTGAGCATTTGCTAGGATTGTCTTTCTGGACAGCTACTGATTAATGGCTCTTCTCTTAGCAAACACATGTTTGGTGAGCCTGCAGCCTGTCCTAGGCATTACAGAATTATATTTCATAGAGGTATTTAGTTCCTGATGTGTCATGATTGTTCTGTCTAAACTTTCAAGAAAGAAGCTAAAACAGATGACAGAAATGAACACTGCTCAGGGGAAGCTGAAACATTCCTGTCGTTTGTATATTCTTCAAGCTTGTAAAATACTTTCTCAGACTTCTGTAATCCTCAGGATGGCTTTTGGGGCAGGTATTATAATTGAGATCTTATAGTAGTAGGAATTGAAGTTCAGAGATGTTAAATGACTTACTCAAGGTCCCTTTAGTGGTGGCAGAGAAGGGTGCTGGGGCATCATGAAGGAGCAAAGTATAAGAGAGGCTCAAATCCAAGGTCCACCATCTCTGCCATTTCCTAGCTCTGTGACCTTGGACAGGTTTCTTAAAATTATCTGAGCTCGTTTCCTCGTTTGCCTTGGCTCTGTCACAGGGTTACAGATAGGAGTGAATGAACAAATGGGTATGGAAATGTCTACATCCTGAAAAATGTGTGAGTGTTAGTTTCATTATTTACCTTTGGGGAGGAGATGGGAGATGGCATGGTATGGTAGACCACCACATTTCAAGTCAAACAGAATTGGTTCTAACTAACATTGGTGCATGAATTTGAGTATGTTACTTGAACTCTCTGGGTTTCTAGCTCCTCTGTTGTGAAATGTGTATCATAACATGATGCTGTGGACCTGTGAGTATGGACCAGTAGGACAGAGGTGAAGCACAGAGCACAGCACCAGGTGAACATTAGGGCTCCTCTCTCTGGCCCCAGCCTGGTTCAGCTTTCTGAAAGAGCACTGAATATTCTAGCATGAAAGAGCTGTAATGGACTATGTGGGTCCTTGCATGGATAAGGAATCTGAGACTCAGAGAGGTGAACTGATTTACCCAGGTCACAGAACTAATGGCAGAGTTGGAAGTTGAACCTAATTCTGATTTCAACTCCAACAGTCTTTTTCTTTTCTTTTTACAATATTACAGTAATCTCCATAATAGCATTATTTGTACCTGTCCTCACCTTGTGAAAGCTATTTTTATTAAGAACCCAAAAATATGCGCTGATAGCATTGCTAGAGCTGTTGAATCCAACCTGAATTGCACTACTTCACATATAGCCAAGTTTGGACTTTAAGCATAGAAACATTTCTTTTTGTATCTTGGGCTATTCTCTGTAACAAAACCACAGGGATTATTTTGTCTCGGCACCTGATGTTTAAACCTGTGCTCTCTTGGAAACAAGTCACACACTTTTAATGTCTGTATTTAATTTGACTCCCACTTCCATGTTGCTATTAGTCCAGACACTTAGGCGTGTCAGCTGAAGGATGTAGTGGAACTAGCCTAGCACCGAGGCATCAAGAGACCCAGAGGCTAGTTCCATATGTGGTATTCACTAGTTGCTAAACCTTGTTGGAAACAGATCTACTACCTTTCTGACAGCTCTAAAGATCTTAAAGTGAGTCTGAAATATTTCTAACTGTATTAGTTTTCTATTGCAGCTGTAACAAATCACCATAAACTTAGTGGCTTTAAATTTATTTTACACAAGTTTATTTTCTTATAGTTCTGCAAGTCAGAAGCCTGAAATGGGTCTTATGGGGCTACAATCTAGGTGTCGGTTCCCTCTGGAGAGTCACAGGAGAATCCATTTCCTTGACTAGTTTCCTTGACCCTGAGATCATGACCTGAGCCAAAGGCAGACCGAGCCACCTAGGTGCTCCACTATCATTTATTTTTGAATTTCTTTGAGCACTAGTGGAGTTGAGCGTAAGTTTATACACTTGCTGGTTTTCAGGTTTCTCCTGTCTATAGATAATAATTATAAATTATATGTGTATAACACACATATAATTTATATGGATATAAATTCTTTGCTCATTTCTTTTTTTGGCTTAACTAGCTGTTTGTTGCTGTTATTTGTTAATGTACTGGTGTTCTTGAATGTTCTAAATGCTATTTCTTTTTTGGGGTCAGATATTTTAAATTTCTTGTCCACATCCTCATCCTTTCTTAACTTTACCTTTGACTTATATTCTAGAAATACTCAGATACAGATAGGTTAGTTATTGATGCTATAACTATCTTTGCCCAATCACTTGTATTTTTTTTTTTAAAGATTTTTATTTATTTATTTGACAGAGAGAGACACAGCGAGAGAGGGAACACAAGCAGGGGGAGTGGGAGAGAGTTAAAAGGCTTCCCGCGGAGCAGGGAGCCCGATGCGGGGCTCGATCCCAGGACCCTGGGATCATGACCTGAGCCGAAGGCAGACGGTTAGTGACTGAGCCACCCAGGCGCCCCAATTATTGAGTTTCTTTTCATCAAAAGAATGTATTAAAATACAAGTGATTGGGCAGGGGCGCCTTTCTATTATAATTTTTATTGGAATTTAATGAAAATGACAAGTAGTAATCTTTGATTCTTGGCACTGGATGAGATATGAAGACTAATGTTTATAGGTACTAGAGAACTATTTCTAGCATTTACTACAAATTATTGAGGGACAAATAGTGCCTTTGTGCATAGGGACTGGGAATTATCTTTGGAATATAAATAGGCTTTTTGCCTAACTTACAATTATAGCAAAAGGTGCAGTGTTATGAGAATGTTTCTATCATCATAAAATTATAGCATTTGAATACCACTGTATGAAGTCCTTTCATGTACAGACATGATTGCAAACAGGAGCTCCCAACTTTGGAGACTCTGGGGCCACTGATCATTTCTACATAGTGGGCCCTATGGACTATCAAGTTCTTTCCGATATGTCCAAAGCCTTAATTCTGGAGCAAGATATTAAATGTCAACTTTCTGGGTTGTGTATCTACAGTTATATAAACATTTATTTTACTCTGGAGGCACAGTTATTTAAAGATGACCATGTATAACAAGCTCTCTATCTCGCAAAGCCAGATTTCTATCTCTAGGAATAAATATTCTGAAAAAATGTGACCATGGAGAGGTATCAGACAGAAGATACTTTGCTCTAACTAGAGTTGGCCTGGCATAAAATTTTGCAGCAGTCACGTATCCCTTGAGTACTTCTGTATAGATCCGTGTCCATTTCCCATTCAGGTGCTCATTCTCACACTCCTCATATTCTTGATCTCACCTGCCCTGGTCAGTTGTGTCTCAGGAAGTAATCCAAAATTCATCCAGATCAAGGTGTAAAGGACCCATAAGGTGTAATGGCTGTCTCTCCCAGTGATATTTGCATTAAAACAGAAATCCCTGTCTCAAGCTAAAGACGTGGCTCAGCAAGGTGGGCAGTGATGTCTTCTGAAACCCCTAAAATTGTAATTCACATTCCATTTATGCACAATCTCAGTTTTAGAACTAAGGAAAGGATGTCAGCAAAAATAAAACACTCAGCTGGCTAGACTTGCCGTTAATTTAAAAAAGTGTACTGTTACCAGGTTGCCCATAGTGACTATAAACTCAATATAATCACTCTGCCTTTCTGCCAACAGGTGAGGTCTGCTGTGAGATTATGAGTCTGTCAGCGTATGGTGTGGAAGCTGTCACTCCTCTCCCCTCCCCCCTCCTCCCGGCCTCCTGTAGGAGAGTGAGGAGGGGTCTGAACACAGAGTTTCAGGAAGGCTGTGTGATCTGCGCCGCCCTCCCCCGCAACACATCCTGGCCTTCCTGGCTCAAAGCCATCTAAGACATGGGAACTCCAGGAGTCATACCCTTGGATCTGTCCTAGGTAATTACAGCTGTCTATAAAAATACTTCATCTGGAAGGTATCTGGCATTCTCAAAGGAAAATTTAGTTTTAGTCAGCCTTTCTAAAAAGTAACCAGTCACAGGAGAGGCTCCTTCTAGTCAAATTAGTTAATTTGGAAGAAATATCACTTCACTACTATAGTAGTTCAACTGTAAGGAATATGATGGTTGTTTTGGTTGAATTTCACTCAATATGATTCAACTTAAGCTTTGAAAAAAAGCTTAGGTCAACAATTAGTCAGCACCTTAGTTTCTGCCAAGTGTGGACTGAACTTTCCAAAGCCAAGTTGGGGTTGGAAAGAGCCAATGGGAAAAAGGGAGCAAGGGGTCATTCTGAGTTCAGCCCAGGATTTGGGGCATGCTTTCCAAACTCTGCCATTCCATGCTGCCCACGGATTAAGCAGGGCAAAATGATTAACAAAAGTGTACGTATGTGTGTGTACTGGAGACACGGTCAACCATTTCAAAAATGCCCTGACCGACAAGAATGCATTTCTCAGCCATGGATCAAGAGGAAAATGATCACACCTCGTAGCAGATTTTGGACATGCACTGCTTGCATGAAAGTCTCAGAAAATTAACTATGAGCTGACTTTGACTCTGTCCCTTCCTAGTTACCTACAAACCCTTAAAGAAAAAGACAATGGCTTATTTGTTTTGATTCCCTCACACACACACAATGCCCAGCACATAGTAAATGCTTAATGAATAGTTGTCAAATGATGAGATAATATCAAGAGACTAATGCAGGGGGAGCCACTTCATAATCTGGCTATGCTATGAGGCTCCCCAGGGTAGAAGGATGTACAGATCCAAGTTCACTGGAAGAAAAAGCCTTCGAACTTACAGCCAATCACTTCTGTGCTGAGAAACCAGAATGCAAACCACAGAGAGCCACATATTAGTTTATCAGACAAGACAGCTATCACGTAGCATTGGATCCAAAGGAATGCCGTTATTTAGGAGAGAGTGGAGAGCAGAGATCTGCCGAGGGAAAGTGCCTGGAGCCTAAGGGCAGATAAAAGAGAAGAAGGCACTTTAAAGGAAAAAGGGACTAGAATGCTTTAGAGGTCAGAAGAGATGGTTCTACCCCAGTGGATATTCAGACTTTTGGGCCTGCTAGACTATGAGAACAGGTAGGCTTTGAAGATTTACAATAGTTCAGAAAGCAGTAAGCAAATGGTCTTGTTTTTATTATTCAAACATTTAATACAAAGCAGGCAGATCTTCAGTACTTTACTGGCATTAAGCAAGAGGAACTGTATGGAAAAAAAAAAAAATGAAACCCAGACAACACATCAAGTTTACTTTCACCATGATAATACTTCACCCTTTTCCCCACTAGATTTTGACAAGGAAGCTCTTCCTGAGTGTTCCTGCCCTACTTTTTTTTACCACCTTTGCTTCTATGATCAGGGAAATGGATGAGAGGGTTTTAAGTGGAAAACCAAGGGTCTAGGAGCCTCATACCTAGATAATAAACTTTTGGGGAAAAACTCAGAATCACACATGATTGGGGAAAGATGGGATTCTCTATCCCCTTCTGCATTTGTTCTTCCTATCCTCCAGTTGGTGAGGGTTTGTAAGACCATTCTGTAGTTATGTGATGAGGACTGGTCATGACCAGGTGGATGAACCCCACCTGAGCACAGTGAGGACTCAACTTGGCCTTTGCACATCTCGGCCATGAATGGCAGTCCTGGGCCTCACACGGACCTATGTGGTCTTTCTGGGCTCTACCACAAGGCCCTTTGCAATTCTGTGCTTGATCTCCTTTGTCTAAAATGGCACAGTCAGGGGCGCCTGGGTAGCTCAGTCAGTTAAGTGGCTGCCTTCGGCTCAGGTCATGATCTCAGGGTCCTGGGATGGAGCTCCCGCATCGGGCTCCCTGCTCAGTGGGGAATCTGCTTCTCCCTCTGCCCCTCTCCCCCACTTATGCTCTTGCACACACACTCTCTCTCAAATAAATAAATAAAATCTTTAAAGAAAATAAAATGGCATAGTCATTGCTTTCCAGGGTCTTGGCTCTCCCCTGACCCCCAGGGCCCCATATCTTTTCTTGTACTTCCTCCGCTACTCCCAGGAAAATCCTATTCTGGGCTGGGAAAAGCCCCTCTATCTTGCTTACTTCATCCAAGATACCGCCTGTAAATTCTCTTTTCTATTTTCTTTCTTCCACACATCTAAATTTTCCCATGGGTTTAGGTTTTGTGAAATAGAACCTGGAGATTGTTGCTTTGGGCTCTGCTACAGACCTCTTCAAAAGCAATGAAACAGAGCCAGCTACTTGTTTGAAAGATAGACAGGATATCTTTGAAAGATAGAAAGATAGACAGAGAGAGAAGAAAAAAAAAAAAAACTCCATAAATTAAAGGCTTAAAATATATATTTTTTCAAGTACATATGTATTTGTAAGTGCTCTAATCCCAAATAGCCATAAAAACATAAAGGCATAAAACTTTGGGTACTTGAAGGGGAAATGTTTATAGATAGATAGGACTTATAGGACCCCTCGATGCTACTATACACAAATGTAAAACTAGCCCTGAGTACAATAACCTGGAGTTTGGTTTGCTGACTGATATTCCCTGCCATCTCAGAAAAGTTGATCTTTCTTTATTCCTGATTTCCTTCCATCCCCTCTATGTTTTACTAATAGCAGGTTCTGGTGAATCAAATTTCCTTACCACTTTCTTCTACCATCTTTGGCTTGTTTGCCCTGAATCTCTTCTTACAAACTTTTACAAACCTTACAAAGTTGTAAATTTCTTACACACTTGCTTGTTTATAAAATTTATTTAAAAATCTCTCTCTCTCCCCTCTGTCTTCCTCTCGCAAGTGCTATAGAGGACTCCAGCGCTTAAAAAACAAAACAGAAACCAAAACCCAAATAACTCTCTGCTGCCCTCTGGTGGATATCAGGTGATAAGCAGGCCTGCTCCTCGAAACTAATGAGACTGGTTGGCAAAATGGTTAAGGAAATTGTGGGGTTATCACTTGGCTCCCACCAATGGGAGTTGCTTCCCTCTCTGGCAGCAGTCAGGACGCTGACGGGCAGTCACAGCTACACTAATTCTTCGATTTAATTTCATAGACTCAGCCAGTTTCCCGTTGCGGGTGGCATATTAGTAGTTTCTCCTATTTTCTTCATTACAAATGTATGAAGCCACTCGTAGAGAGTAGCCGCCTCACTATGGAACAGGGCAGGCTGCCACCTGGTGGACTATCACCAGGTGGTGTCCGAATGGTGGTTCTCTGGTGTCCAGACTGACCTTCGTTCTGAGCACCCAGGAGTTGCTGTGGGCTCTCTCTGCTGCTGCTTTTTTGTTTTTACCCCCTAGGGTGGGACATACATCTTCCTTTGAATTATTATAAAATAACACGTTTGTATATGCTTTAGGAAAAGCAGACAATGACAGAGAGACAATGAAAGTCACCTCTGAATGTCAACAGACTGCTCTGCTGTTGATAGTTTGCACTGCATCATCCTATATGCATACATATCTCCATATCTCCCCCAAAATGTATCCTATTAAAGAAGTGGTTTTATATCACTCTTTTCACACAACATTTCACAAACCCCTTTCTAAGCGATGATCCATAATTTCCACCATCCTTTCCAAGTTGTGGAGACTGTCGTGCTCACATTAGTGTCTGGGCACTGGGCTTTCCTTTGTGAGGACAGGAAGATTAAGAAGGTGTCCCCCTGGTCAGCTCCTTGTTGTCATTCAAGCCTCAGCTCCAATATGGTCACAGCCATGTGGCCTTCCCAAACCCCTCAATCTGGGAAGCCTCCTTTGATGTTTGGCATTTCCTTCATGCCTGTGTCCTTCCTATCTGAAATGATCTTGCTCACTTGTTGGTTTTTTTCAGGGGCTCCCCTAGTAGAATGTAGGCTCGCTGGGAGCTGAGACTTTATCCTCTTTATCACTCTGTCCTCAGGGCTTTGGGTAGTAGATGATGCAAAGAATTTGCTGAGAGAATATTTATTGACTAACTGAGCTCGTTCTATGGCTGGACAGACTGTAGGTACCAAATGCATTTAAGCAATTTCTTATTGTAGAACATTTAGACTGTACCCAGTGTTTACATATTTTTAACAGCACAATAAGAACATCTTTGTTCACTTGGACAGTTCTTTTCTCCCTCCCAACACTAAACTGGAACATTTTAAACATACAGAAAAGTAGAAAGAATAGTGTAATGAACACCCATATACCTTTCATCAAGATTACATTTTTGTTAATATTTTTCCATTTGCTCTCTTTGCACTTTTTTTGGATGAACCATGTAAAACTAAGTTGCAGACTTCAATGTACTTCACCCCTGCACGTTTCAGCATGCATCTCCTGAGAGTAAGTACATTCTCCTAAATGAACACAATGTTATTAGCACATCTCATAAATATAATAATTAGTAATTCTCTAATATAACCTGATAGCCTATGTACAAATTTCCCCAATTACCTTCCAAAATACTTTTATAGTATATATTTATATACTATATTATATTATATATTTTTGAACCATGATCAAACCAAGTTTATATTTATATACATTTATACTTGATCTAGAAGAGTCATTCTGTGTTTTTATTATTCATTTTTTAGACACCATTGGCTTTCTGAGGAAACTATATTAGTTTTCTTACAGAATATCCCATAGAATCTGCCTGCTCATTTCCTCATGGTGTCATTTACCTTGTTTTCTTTCCCCCACCATTCCTGTCACTATAAGTTAGATCTAGATATTTGCTTAGATTATATGATTATAATCACTTATAGTCATGATTCTTTTTGATGTTGAAATTGTCCCAATTTTGTCCACAGGATGCTCATTAAGCTAGCCTCTCTATCCTTTTTGATACGATCTTGTTAATCTTTAAGTGCACTTTGGCTCTCTGCCATAGAAACATGTCCTAGCCACAACTTGTATTTTCCCCATGCACCTCGAATCTGCAATTTCACCAAATGAGCACTGTTTGCTTGTTGTTTTTTTTTTAAGTGAACAGAAATTATTTGAAAACAAAAATCCGGGTGCTGGATTTCCTCATTATTTTAAGAGTGTTATTGTGCTATTGCTACAAGGAGATTTTAGTGGGCTAAACTATTATATATATATAATGTATTTAAAAATTTTTCAATTTCAGGGGTGCCAGGGCGGCTCAGTGAGTTAAGTGTCTGACTTAATTTCAGCTCAGGTCATGATCTTGGGGTTGTGGGATTGAGCCCCACGTCGTGCTCCTTGCTGGGGGTGTGGAGCCTGCTTGGGATTCTCCCTCTGCCTCTCTCTCTCTCTCTCCCTTCCTCTCTCTAAAATTAATTAATTAATTTTTTTTCAATGACAATTTGTATTATAAAATTTTTTCCTAACTGATTTTATATTTTTATTTTAAACACTCACCAACCAAAATACACCAAGGGAAAGGTTAGATTTATTTAGCTTATTGCAGCAAGGGAAAATGCACACCATAGAACACCATGCGGGCCATCTCCAAAGTGGGGCATTAGGGAGGGTGGGAGGCGTTTGGAAGTAAACCCAGGATAGAGTCGGCAGGAATTACTTAGAATTCATGAAGTAGGTGAGTTGCTGATATAATTGTAGTTTTATCTTCAGAACACATGGGTTCCTGATGAGTTATTGTTAGATCAGGATTATGGTCTCTTCCCAAAACTATGGGCTGAAATGAGCCAGTGTTAAAAGAATTTGAGCTTTGATAATTTGTCTTGCTTAGATAATTTATCTATTTGATAAATCATAGTAGAGTTATGTCAATTGTGGTTTCTGTTTCAGTGATCGTTTCAATGATCAATAACCCCCTCTTGACCTAGCTGCCATCAGGATTATTTTTTTTAAAACAGTTTTGTTGAGGGGCACCTGGGTGGCTCAGTTGGTTAGGTGATCGACTCTTGATAACAGCTCAGGTCCTGATCTCAGGGTTGTGAGTTCAAGCCCACATTGGGCTCCATGTGAAGCCTACTTAAAAATTTTTTTTAAAAAAACAGCTTTATTGAGGTATAATTGATATACCAAAATCTGTATCTATTTAATGTATACAATTGATGAGTTTGGACATTTGCATACAACCATGAAACTATTACCACAATCAAGGTTATAAACATCTATCACCTGCAAGTTTCCTTGTGCTTTTTTAATTTTTTTTTTTTTATTTTGAGGTTTCTTTTTCTTCAGGAACATTTAACAAGAGATCCACCTTCTTTTAACAGAATTTCAAGTGCACAATACACTATTGTTAACTATTGGACCTATTTTGTACAGCTGTTTTCTAGAACTTATTCCTCTTTCATAACTGAAACTTTAAAGCCACTAAACACAACTCTTCATTTTATCCCTCTACCTAGCCCCTGGCAACCACCATTTTATTCACTGCTTCTATGAGTTTGACAATTTTAGATATCTCATACAAGTGGAACCAGGAAGTATTTGTTCTCCTGTGATTGCCTTATTTCACTTACATAACACCTTCCAGATTTATCCATGTTGATGCAAATGGTAGGATGTCCTTCTTTTTTTTAAAAGGCTGAATAATATTCCATTGTATGAATACATCACATTTTCTTTATTTATCTGTCAATGGCCATGTGGGTTGCTTCCATATCTTGGTTATTGGGAATAATGCTGCAATGAACATGGGAGTGCAGATAACTCTTTGAGATCTTGACTTCAATTATTTTGGATATAAGAACCAGATGTGGGATTGGTGGATCATAAGGTAGTCTATTTTTTAATTTTTTGAGAAAATTCCCTACTGTTTTTCAGAGCAGCCACTCTATTTTGCATTCCCACCATCAGCGAATTCTAATTTCTCCACATCCTTGCCAAGACTTACCTTTTTTTTTTTTTTTTGGTAATAGCCGTCTAATAGGTGTGAGGTGATACCTCAGTGGATTTTGATTTGTGTTTCTCTGATTAGTGATGTTAAACATTTTTTCCATGACTTGTTGCCATTTGTATGTCTTCATTGGAGAAATGTCCATTTGAGTCCTTAGCCCATTTTTAAACTGGGTTATTTGTGTTTTTACTATTGAGTTGTAGGTTTTCCTTATATATTTTGGAGATTAACTCCTTATCAGATATGTGGTTTGCAAATATTTTCTCCCATTCTATAGGTTGCCTTTTCACCCTGTGGCTTTTTTTTTTTTTTTTTTTCTGTGTAGAAGCTTTTTAGTTTGATATAGTTCCATGTTTGTTTTTGCTTTTGTTGCCTGTGCTTTCGGTGTCCTATCTGAGAAATGAAATCATTGCTAAAACCAATGTCAAGAAGATATCCCCTGTGTTTCCTTCAAGGAGTTTTACACTTCCAGGTTTTACATTTAAGTCTTTATTCCATTTTGAGTTGATTTTTTAATATGGTGTCAGAGATCCAGTTTAATTCTTTCGCATGTGAATATCCAGT